CGGGCTTCAGGGCACACGACACGTAGGTGGGGGGAAATCCAGTGGGAGCTGCTGAGCGCACAGAAACCGGGTCCAGCTCGGGCAGCAGCCCCCGCGCCGCAAAGGGCTGGAGAGCCCTTGGACGAGCAGCCTGTGGTGGTCTCTTCCCACGCTGGTCCCTCAGCAATGCTTCAGGCCCCCGTCAGAAGCATCACAGATCCTGGGGGGAGACGCCCCACAAATCAACTTGCAGAGCAGCGAATGTAAAAGGGAGGAGGGTCAGAAATGCAAGATGAGAGGAGCGGAGGAAGAGGAGCAGAGCCCCCAGCGCCCAGAGGACACCAAGGAGCCAGGGGTTGCTGCCCACAGACACAACAGGATGAGGGAATGGAAACAGGCCCCAGGGTTGCTTGAATCCCCTCCTCCCCAGCCTCCTCCTCCCTGACCTTGGCCAGCCCAGCAGGCCGTCGGGGAGGTGTCCTGCAGCTTACTGGGGCCCTGGCCAGGGAGTGGAGGACAAGGCGTGGGAGATGTGCAGCCAGAGCCGCGGTACGAGGCAGCAGCCAGCTGCACTCCTGTGCACACACGCCCCAGCACCTTCCTCTGACTGCAGGAGCGTGCATCACGGCCACCAAGCACACTCACGCTCATGCCCATAGCTGTGTCCTTCCTACATGTTCCCTGCCGGTCAGGCCCCCTTTGCTCGTGCAAGTCACTGCCTCTCCCGATACGGACCCGTCCACCTCGTTGTCCTTTGTTTGCTGCAGGAGAGACATAGCTGTCACCTGCTTCTTCAGTTCCCTCACCTGGCTGGGTTTTTCTCTGAAACAGGGTGCACGCACAGTGCTCAGACAACAGGGCTTTGGCCTTGCACGCAGAATTGAGGGCCGGGGACCCTAGCAAAGGCTTTGCTCCCCAAACCTCTCCACGCACTGCCCTGGCATCCAGTGTCACCAGCAAGCACCAAGCAGGACCCCCACGCTTGCACTGGTGTTTTACATTTTAACTGGACACCAACAGAGAGGTGGTACCTCAACTAGAGAGGTGGTAAATGTCCCGATTTCTGCAAAAAGGTGAGAAGAAACTGAGATGGACAGACCTGCTTCTGGTATTAAAAAAAAAAAGCATGCTAGTAAATGAGCACAAAGCCTGCATCTGATTCACTGGAAGAAAGCTTGGCACGCTCTGAAGGCTCCATGGATGCTGAGGTTTATTTGGCCCTGCAGCTCTCTTCCATATGAAACATGGGACTGAAAGTGCCAGGTAGCATCCAGAGGAGAGGTGAGGGGCACGGCAGGCTCCGGTCGGATGCTCCTGCTCTGAGCAGCGGCAGGCAGAGCCGGGGAAGGACTCGGAGTGCTCTCAGCCCCAGCTGAGCTCCCTCCTTGGCCATGAGGAGCCATGCAGGCTCCCGTCCCGTCCAGCTCCTGCCAAGTGGCGCTCCCTTTGGGGAGCGGACATCACTGCCCTGGGCACTGTCAGAAGCCAAGGACGGCAGGGCCCAGCTTGCTGCCGGGCAGTGCTGCCCCCTGGAAACAAGGGGATGTGGAAAGGACAGACAGATGTCTCTGCACAGAACGGCAACCTTCTCTAACTCGGACCTGTCGGGGGAACCGTCCCCTGCCTTTGCTGCTTGCCCCGAGCCAGCACCCTGCAGGCAACTGCAGCATCTCCCTGCTAACACCACCGTTTCCTGTGTCCTCGAGCCGTGCCAGGGCCTTGTGGCCGGCTATGCCGGGAGCGTCGGACGGCACTCGAGGTCCAGCACGACATGATGCACGTGGGGTGCGTAGGATTTCACTGCCTCAATGTGCAGGATGCTGGTCCTCCACGGCCGCCCGTGCAGCTCTTCCAGTAGCCCCTGTATCCGCTTCGCAGCAGCCTCTGCCCACCTCCGCCACTCAGGCCGGACCCTGGCCACCTGTGTCTCCTTCCTGCAGTTCTCTGCGTCCTTCAGGCTCCAGCGCTCCCTCTCTCTGTCCACCTGCCTGACAGAGCTGGCTTCCTCTGGCGGTCTCTGCTCATCCCTCAAAACTCCAGGCTGCTGGTGGGCTTGTGCGGGAAGATTCTCCACGTTGTGGTGGATGTGGAGCACTCCGCCTGTTTCCTTCTTGAGGACACGGCAGGCTATGGGCCAGCCTTCCTCGGAGCTGGGAAGCAGCCCCAGGTTGACCCGGTCAGCGACGTCCTGCAGCTCCAGCTGGAACGAGAGGGCAGGTGAGCAGGACACGGTGTGGCGGGCAGAACGCCGCGTCCGGGAGCGCCACTCACCTGCCTGTTGTCCCCGTGGTGGATGCGGCAGCGGTCCTGCACGCCGTTCAGCGCCAGATTCCTCCGCAGGGCCTCCACGGCGTGGCGGTTCCACTCGCAGGCGTGGGCGAAGGCAGCCGCCGCGTGCACCAGGTACGGCAGCGTGAAATAGCCGATCCCTGGGGGCAGGAGAGGTGGCAGCAGCTGAGGGCACAACCCAGGCACCGACTCCTGGGATCTGCGCTCCTCCCCAGAGGCAGGTCAGGAGTGGATTATCCTACTGGCTCTCTACGCATCTGCTTTACTCTGGGTCAGAACTAGCCAAGGCACTGGGGAAATGTCCACAAATGGGTTTTCATTCTTCTCCAAATAAAAACCAGTTTTGAAAAATGTTCACTAAGGAACTTAATTTACAATCAGTCTTTGTCCGTAAGTTTGAGACCTGCCTGGTCCTGCTCTCCTTCTACCATTTATTTGAATTAATCAAGAGCAGTGTTGCAAGTGCCACTCTCGTTCTCTGTGGCACAAATCAGAAACATTAACTTCCCTTAATACAGAACAACAGCTTTCTTTACACACAAAAGCCTGACACCATCTCCCAGTCATCTCCACAGCGCAGGAGTGCTCACACCTGCATGCACACTTCAGTTACCATCAGCTTTTCACAAAAGGTTGTCACGCTCAGTACAGACTCGGGACTCTATGTGAGCTTTTTAGAGACAAAATCTAGTTTCATAAAAGAGGGCAAGTCTTCTACTGGGATCAAAACGATTCCTGTGAGCAGCACTAGCTATGGAGCAGTGCTCTGCATAGGCTGAGCCCAGAGGTGATCCAGAGTGTCCAGAGGCAACAGGGACACAGGAGGGACAGCGGTAGCAGGTTGGCTGAGGGCTTCCAGATGGGGCAGGAGCTCTAAGCCACATCACAAAATACTTGCCAAACTGGGTCATTTTTCAACCTAGAATTAATGACGTTTCATCTCCACTTTCATCCCATGAGTACCTGCACCACCGCTCTCTGCAAGCTTACCCTGCAAAACCCCTCCATGTCCCCTGAGATGTTACCTGCATAGAGATCCACCAGGACCTCCCCAGAGCACGGCAGTGAGGCCACCCGCAGCTTCTCCGTGATGTTGCCCGGGGAGAACATGCACTTGGTCACATCGAACGTGTACCTAGGAGAACCGCCAGCCTGGTGAGAGCTGCCCCATTCCCAGCCTGATGTGGCCGCCACATCCTGCACCGCAGCTCCTGCCTACCTGATCCCGTTGTCCACATGCTCCACCCAGCCGTCCTGGCCCAGCAGCAGGGTCACACTGGGGGACCGCATCCCGTCTGGCAATACCCGCCCTCGCCTGGCCACGCGCTGGGCACCCAGAGCCGAGGCGACTGTTTCCCAGAGCGCTGGGCCTGCAACACATCCGTGCCAGCACCTTAGGGAAAGGCTAGGGCAGCTCTCGGGGCAGAAGCGGGTCAGGCAGACGGCGCTCCCCCTTACCCAGCTTCTCCCACAGCGCAGCGCTGAAGCTGTCCTCACTCAGCAAGACGAGGTCTCCATGCCGCTGCCAGGAGCGGGGCACATCGTGCTCCAGCTCCTCCGACCAGCTCTCACCCGAGCCCACCACCAACCGCTGCAGCTTGTGGCACAGCTTCTGGGCAGGCGTCTGCACGCTGGCTGCCTTGGAAGGGACGGGGTCCTGTGGGAGAGATGTGGAGAGAGAGGCTGAGACGTGGCTCCTTCCCTGCAGCCTCCCTGCTCGAGCCGGGAGCCCCTGTCCGTGCAGCCCTCACTCCTGGCCCCTGCAGAGCGCTCCCTGCCAGTGCCCCTACTCCGCTCTCCGAGACTGGGAGAGGGTACGATCCCAGCAGGAAGGATGAAGCCTCAGGAGGATGCCCACCCCACCGCAGAGCTCCCTGCCTGCACCACAGAAGCCCTGAGCATCTCAGCTGATTGCTCCTCTGGCTGAAAGTGAGAGTTTCAGGGCAGCCTCCCGCATCCCCTCCCCACACAACCCCCTCACCCTGCGACTCGCAGCTCCCAGGCAGCGTGGGTGCAAGTCAGGGGGCCCCAGGGGCCCTCCAGCGCAGGGGCAGGGCTCAGGGCAGCAGAAGTGTCCCAACCTGGATCCAGGTCAGCCTGCAGGGCACCTCCTGGGGCCCGCTCTTCTGCAGCGCCCGCAGGTGCTGCTCTGTGAGCTTCTCTCCCAGCACAGGCAGGGCCACGCTGCCACCCGGCATCTTCTGCAGCCGGTAACGAGCATCCAGGATCTGTTCCCCTTCCAAATACTCCCTGAAAGGCCAAGGACACAGTCAGGCATTCCTTCCCTCCGCAGCATGCCCAGGCTCTGTGCATCTGCTTGCTGCAGCCTGGGAGCCCACCACGCCGGGGGAGCAGACTGCGGGGCACAGGGCTGCCTCTTCTCCTCCTCCTCTCCGACATGCAGGGCCATTTCCTCAGCGCAGCCGGCTCTGAACACAGCTCTGCTCCAGCTTCCTCCCCTACCCTCCACCTCACCTTGGACTTGCTTGTCTCCCGCTTTTGGGTCCCGGTGCTCATGGAAGACGCAGGCAGGCTGCTTTGGGGACGGGTGCTGCACCGGGAACATCGCAGCAGGGCCAGGGCTCCCTGGGGCTGACACGCTGGAGCCCCAGGGGGCTGCAGAGCTGGAGCAAGAGCTGGGACATGCTAACCCTTACCGGCGCTGCGAGCTGGGGGAGCCTGGCACCCTGTACTCCCCGTTTAAGCAGCCACACTCAGCTCTGCCCTAGCAGGGCAATGTCCTTCAGCTCCCTTCCCACCGGCAGGCTTACCTGAGCTGCTGGGCAAACCGTGGCTCCGTGACAAGGGCAGAGACAGCGCCACACATGTCCTTCACATCCATCCCAGCAGGTCCGAGGAAAGAAGAGACCTCAGCAGCCAACAGGAGTGCAGACACCTGGGTGCCAGACACGGGATCCATCACACACGGTGTGCCATCACACACTCATCACAGGCCAGGTGGAAGCAGGACTTGGAGCGGCCCCGGACACCGCTACGCTGGGGATACCAGAGCCCTGCCGCCCCCAGCCCCACGGCCTGCCTGGCACCCGCTCGCTGCCGGTGAGCCACCTCGTTGCCCCATGCAGTTTGGCCGCTCCGAGGGGAAGGGGTGCCGCTGCTCTGCCAGGCTCGGTGTGGTCTCCTGGGCTGGGCTCTGACTGCCCGTCCGGGCCTGCGG